GCCCCAAACATACACAACACACCACCCATCACGTGCATACACGCCTCGCTTCACCAAACGTAACCCCCAACACGCACACTATCTAACACAATAATTACTCACACACATCTTCACTAACAACACCAACACACAGATCTCAAATGTAACATTTCTAAAATATGCCCTCACATTTAGGTTTTTTATCCGCTCTCATTTGCCGCGCCTCTTTATGTTCTTACCTTATCAAATCTTGTATTGATCATTCTATGCTTAAGACAATACCATTATTAGACCCTGAAATATGCGCAATGCTCACCTAGTTTAGGGTCCTTTTTTCTAACATTTTTAACATCTGCATTTAATTATCTTTACAATCAGATACAGAATATTCAACAAAAAAAGTGCTCCTAGAAAACTAATATGTCCCTCTCCTCTTCCCCTGCGCTAACTGACTGCCAATCTCCTCCCAGCAGTTTCTATCAAAGGGTCCGATGACGTCACAGATCTGGGACTGGTCTGGCCCCTGGTCCTGGTCTGGACCCGGTCTTCCATCTCCACCTGAGCAAACAATGCCCCCCACCACTGGGCGCCTGATTGTGTTGGACTTTTGCCCTCGTCGAGAGTGGGAGAGAGCATTTGTTTATTCTTGGAGTCAATAATTGTCTGGTTTTGTAAGCTGGTCATCTCTTATGATTCCTGAGTGCATATTCCTTTGTCTGATGTGCAGCATTTTGTGAATATTCGTCATTTGTTACAGGGATGAGAATTGGTCAAAAAAGACTGAAATGCATATTGTCAACCATTTGCTGGCTCTAAATCTGTTTAATTTGTTCACAACATATTACTTTTGGGCTCAAACATGAACTTTTTATTCAATGCAAAATGTAGGTATCAGAGCTTTATTTAGGGCGTTTAATCGCGCTTCGAGAGGAGAGGGGAGAGGCGGACTGTTTCCTGCAGCAGTGTATTTATTGGGTGCACAGATTACTCAAAGACACGCATGGTCCTGTGCGCGTTTATGGGGTTGGGTACATGGCCACGTTGAGGCTGCGCGCTCAGCCACAACACGGTGGAGCGGCGGCGAGCGGCTGGACGCTCACAGCCTCTCGCAGCCGCTGGACACTCACAGCCTCTCGCAGCCGCTGGACGCGGAAGTTGCTCATTACAAAGCGGCCGCAGATGCCCCGGAACACTGCGGCCGCTGAGGTGGCGGAATCCCGTTCGAGTACATACTGCAGGTGCCCTGCGGATACGCGCGCCCAGCTCAAAAAATTCTCAACGGATTTACACTTCTCATAAACATGTGTTTTGTATGAGGCAGACAGACCGGCCCAAATATGGGCATCGGCCCTTTGGGCATTGCCCGGTACGCCCGATGTCCAGTCCAGCCCTGTTCGCTGGCATCCTTGAGCTTGGACTACAAATTCGAAGTGATGCACAGTAGAGGAGGGCTGGGCCAAAGTGTTTTGTTAGACGCCCATGCCCTTATATAGCAGTCTCGCTGCAAATACTGTGACGTAATAATTCTAAACACGTAATAGAGAATGGCAAAATCAGAACGGGTTGAAATATCTTACCTAAACAGAATATGAAGTATTCTCTGCAACCATGAAGAGACTGATTTCAACTTTTTTGCACTTCTAGAGGCTCCAACTACACAACATAAGGCATTTCAGGCACAAAAAGTGGATTTTTCATGATATGTCCCCTTTAAAGTCCCCCGAGATAACAGCTGTTGTGATTTAGGACAGTGTGGGAACAGTGTGAGGACAGTGTGTGAACAGTGTGGGGACAGTGTGGGAACAGTGTGTGGACAGTGTGGGGACCGTGTGGGGACCGTGTGTGGACAGTGTGTGGACAGTGCGTGGACAGTGCGTGGACAGTGCGTGGACAGTGTGGGGACAGTGTGGGGACAGTGCGTGGACAGTGTGTGGACAGTGTGTGGACAGTGGGGGGACAGTGTGGGGACAGTTTGGGGACAGCAGATGGACTGTAAACACTTATGCTGTCGTTGCATAAGTGGCTCTGCTCAAACAGGATGTGAGCCTTTCAACACCGCACAAAACCCACAAACAGAACTCCTCTTGTACATGTGTGTGTGTTCGCATTTGAGTGTGTGTGTACTTACGTGCCTGCGTGTGTGTGTGAGAGTGTGCGTATATGTTTGTGTTTGCTTGTGTGTGTGTGTGTGTGTGTGTGTGTGCAAAGCAAACATGAGGATTAGCGCCGAGGTCAGTGGCCTTGACCACATGACCGAACACTCAGAGTTTACTGTTTGCAAGGCCAATTTATTTGTATAGCACAGTTTGTACATAAAACAACTCAAAGTGCTGAACAAAACTTGATTAAAAAACCATCACACAAGTTATTAAAATAGTATCAATAATCACAGTGCATTAAAAATGGTGAAGACAAAATCTTTCAGTTGTATGAACAGCTAAACAGAACAATTTAACCAGTATTTTAAAATTTTAGTTAAAGATTTTAGCTACATAAATCTGAAATGCAGCCTCCCCATGTTTGGTCCTGAATATGGGCATCAGCAGGAGGCCAGTCCCTGTGCTCCTGAGAGTCCTGTTCAGAAACTTGTAACAAGTAGAGCTGCTTTATAGTCTATTCTCTGAGCCACAGGAAGCATTGACCTGAGACCTGGACTTCCTGGTTCTAGTCAGGATTCAGGTGCAGTGTTTTGAAAATAGATAGATACGGTTTTACAGTTCTCTTGAAGCTGCATCAGCAATTTGTGTGGATATGAGCACCTGTTATGTTTGTGTCAAACAGCTCTGTGAGCCTATGACTTGTTTCTCTATGAGGACAATAAAGTTTAACCTTGAACCTTACTGTAGACAGCCCTGTGAGCAGTTACAGTTGTGTCACAGTAGGCAAATGCAGGATATGACTTTCCAAGTGTACTTCAGACACTAATATACAGTATATATAGTGTCTGTGGCTGTTGAAAGTCCATTATTACCTGACACTGTGGTTAGTACTTGAGCTTCACAGCAAGAAGGTCCTGAGTTTGATTTAACTTCAGCTCGGGGCCTTTCTGTTCAGTTTGCATGTTCTCCCTATGTCTACGTAGGTTTCCTCAAGGGCCTCCAGTTTCCCCTACCACTAAAAACATGTACAAGTTCATGTACAGGGAACTGTAACACTTTCCCGCCCTCGGCCCCCTCTCTCTGGGGCCAGGACTTCCCTGAAAAAGAGATTTTGAAATGTCGGACTTTCCTGGAAGAAAGGTCAATCTGAGGTTTTTCAGGGAGACACTGAGTCTCAGGAGTCTGAACTTTCAATCAATCAACAACTGTATAAATCCTGAATTGTACGACTGCATCATTTTGGTAAATATTTGTTTTTTTCAGATCACAGTCACAATCTGCTTTCATTATTACAATATTATTACATATTCCATTCATCTGATAATTCTGTCTTGACAATTCTCTATTCTTACCTGCTCCTAATTTTGCTATTGTTTATTCTGGTCATATTCTCTGCAGTTATAGTACGATATAAACATCTGTAAATACCTCATGATGCTGCTGACGACAGTGTTTATTCCACAAGTGACTTCTCTTTGAACCAAGTGCAATTATGCCTCCAGAGATTTATTTTATTATCTTATTACTTTAATATCTGTTCTTTTAAATAATAGATCCTGTATTATGTGTGTAACCTGAGTGCTTTGATTTTCTTCTGCTGTAATGTGCGCAACAGTGACAACAAAGAGAGAGTGAAGAGATCAGATAAACAAAGGTTTATCTGGTCTCTTCACTGAGAGCATGAATGGCAGGACTTGGCTCAAACATTGATGATTTTTAGTCAAAGGAATTTCTGTGCAGTTCTGTCGCTGATGCAACCGTTCTCAGCAACAATTCCACAAATACCAGAAAGTGTACGAACAGGCCAAATGACTCAACAAAGGTATTCCAGGAGTAGTTTCTCATCCAAATCAGGCTCCTGTTACTTCTAACTGTTTGACTTTGAAATTTGAACTTGTATCTATGTGTAGGGTTTGAAGTCAATGTCACAGAAAACAAAAGTTATTTCTTTGATATTCAATTTTGTAGTAAATGATTAATTCATAATACTTTAATTAGGGGCAAATTGAATACGTCACAACTGAAAATATGCATACGACGTCATGTTCATTCTTTCAGTAATGAATCAAGTCCTTCATTAGTTAATTCTCTTCATTGGAATCTGGTGTAAATTCTTTCTAAAAAATAACTAGCACAAATAAGTTTGTGTTGTAGACTTAATGCACTATGTAATACAGATTTGACAAGAGATAGTCTAGAATAACATGATGAAAACACTTGTTAAGGATATATAGTTAAAACGCTATGGCTAAAATAATAGTGGGCTCGCTCAACCTCAGTACGTTATGTTCAGAGTCTTCTTCTAAGTGAGGTTGGGGAACCAAATCTTTATCTAAAGGAATTTCTAAATTGGGTTATTGAAATTATGAGAATCAGAAGCCAATGTCAGTGAAACAGAGCGGTTCCATGGTGCGGTGTCCTGGTGCTGGTCCAGCGTGCGTCCAGTTTGAGAGGTTCTCGCTCCCATCTCTGTGTGGAGTGAGAGGACAAATGCCCAAAAATAACAATTGTAAACCGCTTTGTGACTCTGGTTTGTGAAAGGCGGTATATAAATAAAGATTACTTACTTACTTACTTATTTACTTACTTCTCTACTTTACTCTGGAAGAACCTCTATGCTGTCCTCCACAGGCAACAACCTAACTGGTACCCTTTCAAATGGAGTTTTGTGGTTTTTGGTCTCTCCTGGAAACCAGGGAGGCTCTAACAGTAACACATTCATCAAATGTGTGGATTCGTCTCAATTTTAGTCCAAATAGTTGCTTTTTGTTAGTTCTCCTCTTACTGCTGCTGTGAAGCCTTTTGTGCACCATTTAGTACAGTTAGAAAGTGCTTTTCAAATACTTTGACTGATGCGTCTCTATCATGTGGACAGATGTCGTCTTTGGCCCCTGTACATGTGACTTTCCTGTGTCCTCAGAGATGGCCCCTGAAGCAGACGTGGTCGGCCTGCTCCTGCTCAGTCTGCTGGGGATGAGCTCCACCTCTGAGCACGGTATGTGACATCAACATTCACTCACATTAACAAGCATCATTGCTGGGGGAACCTAGATTTCAAATGCAGGTAATAAACTCCATTTCACAAGTTCCCGGCTCTAAAGCAGTTTCTATCACTAGTTATCACACAAGGACAGTGATGATGATCCAGGACACTCAACATTCAACAACATTTATTATCCACATTTATCAACATTTATCAACATTTAGGAACATTGGTCATCAACTGCTCATGGACCATACCCATGTGTTTTCATAATTACAATACAATACAATTTATAGACCTAAACAGAAGTAATCTCAGAGGACTTAACAAAACCATTGAAATCACCAACACGAATCAGAGAATCAACAGTTAAGACACAAAAAAGAATATACTGTAGAACACATGTTGATAAATGTCCATACATGTTGTTGAATGTTAGAGTGTCCTGGATCATCACAACAGTCCTTTTTGTTAGACACAAACTGTCCATCAGGCCCTCCTGCATCAACAAAAAAAACCTCACAAAAACCCAGTGGGAAAAAAAAGTGAGAAACCTCGGTGAGATCCACACAATGAGAGAGGGATCTGCTCCACACGGATCATTGAATTTCTTGTGTTTGAACTGCGAATTCAATGGTTTTGAAAAGTCCTCTGAGATAAGTACTAGTGTGATTAAGGGATATACAAGAATACATTGAATTGAATACATGCATTTTTGGCCTCTCTAACATCTTTAGAGCAGGCTTAGAAGGTTCTTTTATTAAGACTTTAAAGAAAGCAAGTACTGCTTACCGGACATGTTTCTGCGTTACACTTCCGCCTTCAGGTGACACGTGTCTTTTATCATCTGTCGATGCCAGATGATGTCAGTCTGATAGATCTCACAGATCCGTCAGACTGACCGTGTCTCCCGCCGTATCATGGTGTCTGGAAAAGTGAATCCCAAGTGTGAGCCAAGTATGATAAGTGACTCGTCACACCATCACGTGTCACCTCTGATGAAGGCAGATGTATACCGGCGAAACGTGTCACTATCTATATTCATTGTCTTATTAAAAGAGCCTTCTAAGCCTTAAACATAAGAAGACAAAAAAAACGTTTAACGTTTAATCTTTAGAGCAGCGTTTTCAGATAGCAAAGTGAAAAAGAGAAGGCCACCTTCACTCGGCCAATTCATTGTGAACATATAATTTTTAATGCTGGTTTTGGTACAATACAATACAATACAATACAATACAATTTATTCTTGTATAGCCCTAGGTCACAACAGAAGTCATCTCAGAGGACTTAACAAAACCATTGAAATCACCAACACGGGTCAGAGAATCAACAGTTAAAACACATGAAAAATATAAAGCACACACAGAAGAAAATGTCCATACATGTTGTAGAATGCTAAAGTGTCCTGATCATCACCTATCTTTTCTGTACAGAACTAATAAACAAAACCCTCCTTTGGGCAATTATTCACATCACTTAAATTTATTATTAAAGGCGACGTCATGTCTAATTGTCAAAGTAGAATATGCTTGCCTACTTTTATCTCTTTTTCCATAATCCTGGTTTATCGCTGGGTCTACGTTCTAAAAATAGTCCACAATAAGTGGAAGTAGCAGCTGTACTGTATGTTTTAAGGCTATAAAACCCCTCTCCACACACTTTATACACTTTTCTAACCAACTGAACTCACGACTACTGACGAGCGATGGCGGGGATATCAAACCTATATTTCTGAGCGATGCTGCGGTTGTCAAAAGTTATGCATACACTGTAAAATACAGGACAATGTTGGGCAGGAGCAGGACTGAGGGCTACAGGAAGTTAAATGAAATGCCAAAATTACAAGAAATACCAAAGTTACATGAAAGTTATATTTCCAAGATCATGTTTTACGCCCTTAATGATTATAATGTGTGACTGTGTGTGTGCCCCCTACAGGTCGCTGTAAGAACTACCGGCTGCAGTTTGAGCGTGTTTTTTCCGTCCCGGGAGATGTGGCCATGCTCAACAGCACGCTCCTGTCCCCGAGCGTCTTCAACCTGAGTGCCACGCCCTACAATGTCACGTGGTACCGGCTGCACTCCCACCTGCCAATCAGCAACCAGCGGGGGCGGGTGCTGGTGCGGGCCGAGACCCTGTGGCTGCTGAACGTGACACTGGAGGACGCCGGCGACTACGTGACTGTAGTCAGGTGAGGCTAGGGTGAAGGTGTGAGGTGTGGGTGAGGGAGAACTGAGGGTGTGAGGTGAGGAAGGGGTTAAAGTGTGAGGCGTGAGTGAGGGTGAGGTGTGGGTGAAAGAGAGGTGAGAGTGTGAGGGGTGAGAGAGGCGAGGGGGAGAGAGAGGTGAGGGAGAGGTAAGAGAGGTGGGGTGGAGATGGGGGGGTGTGAGAGAGAGGTGACAGTGAGGCAAGGTGAGGTGAGAGAGAGGTGAGGACGAGGAGTGGGTGGGGCGTGGTAGAGGCAAGGCGTCTGTCAGGTGTGGAAGAGGTGAGAGAGACGCCAAGGGTGAGGGTGAGGCAAGGGAAAAGTGAGGAGAGGGTGAGGAATGGGTGTTATTTTTGGCCCTAAATAAATTATATTATTCATTTTATGAGATCCTTTATTGGTCCCACAGTGGGACAAGAACAGTTAATGAACAATAACTCAATACTAAAGATATTGAATAAATAATAAATACATCCATTTCCAATTATACTACAGTATATAGATTTTATTTTCTGTACAATCGACCAATAGACCAGAAAGCACTATCAAGTTTTGGTTTTATTCATGAAATTCTATAGTTTGACGTTTTCTCTCCCCCCACAGCACCCCTGACGCGTGCTACCGGCAGCAGACCAAGATGGTGGTGGACGTGGCCCTGTCCTCGTGTGGACGTCCCAGGACGACAGGGAAGAGTCTGAGCAAAGGGGTGACAGACCGTTTGTCCTGCCCCCTCAAGGGGTTAATGCAGACACTGAACCGCTACGGGGTCGAATACTCCCTTACCTGGTACAAGGTGAGGATGAGGATACGCACACACACACATACACACACTTATGCATACAGGCATACAAACATACTGTACACTGGCATGCATACACATATGCTTAAACACACAAATACACATACAGTGGGGCAAAAAAGTATTTAGTCAGCCACCGATTGTAAGTTCTCCCACTTACAATAATGACAGAGGTCTGTAATTTTCATCATATGTACACTTCAACTGTGAGAGACAGAATAGAAAAAATATCCAGGAATTCACATTGTAGGATTTTTAAAGAATTTATTTGTAAATTATGGTGGAAAATAAGTATGTGTTCAATAACACAAATTCAAGTCAACGGAAGGAGGTTTTGGCTCGGATCAGTCGTCCTGTCAGTCGTTCTGTCCCCTTAGCAGAAAATCAGCCCCAAAGCATGATGTTTCCACCCCCATGCTTCACAGTAGGTATGGTGTTCTTGGGATGCAACTCAGTATTCTTCTTCCTCCAAACATGATGAGTTGAGTTTATACCAAACAGTTCTACTTTGGTTTCATCTGACCACATGACATTCTCCCAATCCTCTGCTGCATCATCCATGTGCTCTCTGGCAAACTTCAGACGGGCCTGGACATGCTCTGGCTTCAGCAGGGGGACACGTCTGGCACTGCAGGATTTGATTCCCTGTCGTCGTAGTGTGTTACTGATGGTTCCTTTGTTACTTTGGTCCCAGCTCTCTGCAGGTCATTCACCAGGTCCCCCCGTGGGGTTCTGGGATTTTTGATCACCGTTCTCATGATCATTTTGACCCCACGGGATGAGATCTTGCGTGGAGCCCCAGATCGAGTGAGATTATCAGTGGCAGAAAAACATAAGAATTGTATTCTTCTTTTCTGCTCCTTTCCTTCATGTAAATGTTGAAATTATGAATGTAATTATTATTATGTGAACATGTGAACAAAGCATTTTCATGAAAGGAACAAATAAATAAATAGAAAAAAAATAAATAGAAATAGAAAATCGCTTTGGGTTACATTTGGGCTATCTTTTATACAGATAACGAGTTCAAACAGGTGCCATTAATACAGGTAATGAGTGGAGGACAGAAGAGCTTCTTAAAGAAGAAGTTACAGGTCTGTGAGAGCTAGAGATCTTCCTTGTTTGAAGTGACCAAATACTTACTTTCCACCATAATTTACAAATAAATTCTTTAAAAATCCTACAATGTGAATTCCTGGATTTTTTTCCACATTCTTTCTCTCACAGTTGAAGTGTACCTATGATGAAAATTACAGACCTCTGTCATTATTTTAAGTGGGAGAACTTGCACAATCAGTGGCTGACTAAATACTTTTTTGCCCCACTGTACATGCACAAAAACACACGCCAGACTTATGAGCACACATACCCATACGCCCACAGACATGCACACAAATACGCACACACACACTGAAAGCTGATTGGCTGAATGTGGGTGGTTCTCTTGTATTCACTTTTCTATCTGAAAAAGCTGATCTAAAGATGTGACCAACATGAGATGCATGTGAAAACTAGTCATCAAAGTAAACTGGACAATAACTAGTTATTCTGGTTCTATAACACAGTTCCATTGCACGTGGTATGAAAGTTAGGTATTCAGTTTTAAGCTCAGGTCCAATTAGACAGTGGGTATTAGTTTGGTGCAGGAGGCTGACTCACCTGTGTGTGTCTGTGTGTGTCTGTGTGTGTGTGTGTGTGTGTGTGTCAGGGCTGTGAACTGGTGCCACACGACCACAGCAGGCTCCACTACTGGGAGACCTTCCTGAAGGTGATAGGGGTGCAGAGGGAGGACCAGGGCCAGTACACCTGCACCCTGACCTTCAGCCTGGACGGAGTGACCGGGAGTGTGTCCGAGACCATAGATGCTGAAGTCAGAGGTCCCACGGTCACTCTAAAACACACGCACACACACACACACACATAGACACATGCATACACGCACAGACACACATACACACACCCATATATACACACATACACACTGCACACACACAGCACCACACACTCCACACACCACTCTGTACCTCACACTCTGGACACACTGCACACTGTTAATACCCTTGCTGCTACATTTTGCTGAACTAGCTGGAAACCGTTTTTGGTGGATTTAGGACACACTTTAAGCAGAGCGTTACAGTAGTCAATCCATACCTCTGATTCTGGCTTAAATTTCAAAGTATATTCCAAAATCTTCAGCTAATTCTCTCCATGGTTCTGGATGTTTTCTTTTTCCCCATAGAAATCCTTGCAAACTAAATAGCTTTTGGTCAACTAAGTTTTGCTGGCTTAATTTATTTTGCATCTGATTTCAGGAGACTACTGTCTGCTGCCTCAAGTCCGGGAACCTGCCAACGACGTGATCAAAGCGGAGCTGGGTCAGTATTGGGTATACGTCACATGGATTTATATTTACAACAAACAGTATATTTATTGTGTATTGGTTTCCCTGTTTTTTTACAACATTATTTTAGAACCATTTTAAACACAAATGCATGTCATATTTGTCATTGATATTGATAAATGTCTCATAATACCGGGGATGAAAGTCTGTTTTTGCTAACCTCTTGTGTGTGTGTGTGTGTGTGTGCGCGCGTGTGTGTGTGTACGTGTGCATGTATGTGTGAATATGTGGCTATACATGCAGGCTCCAACCTGACCCGCCGCTGCCTGGTGTTCGTGCCGTGTGAGGGGATCCCCCGGCTGAACGTGGATGTGTACTGGCTGGTGGAGGACAGCTACATCGCGGACGATCCCTTGGAGCGCGTCTACTCCTCCCAGCAGCGGTCAGTGCGGTGCTCTGGGGGCAGGGATAAACAGTGGCGTTAATACAATATGCCAGATATGAGACTTCTCCCCAAACCTCTGAAGTGTCAATGCTCCCTGGGAAGACAAAGTGCATCACTTAAATCAAAATATTAGGTTCTTCTATCACAGGATTCACAAGCTTCTGTCACATTTTTAGATCAGCTTTTTCGGACATAGAAGTGAAGAGAGGACCACACTTGTATGAGTGCTTACTTATGCTGTAGTTGTGTGTACTGGTGCAGTGTACTATGTATCCTAGTGCAGTACTTGTGTGTAATTGTGTACAGGGTGGTGACAGTGCAGGAGGACGGGGTCTGGATGGAGAACTGGCTCGTCATCTCAGAGCTGAAGGAGACAGACTTCAACCTGAACTACACCTGCCTCGTGCTGAGCGAGAGAGGCAGCCCCTACTGCTACTTCACACTACTGCATACAGGTACTGCTGCAACTACTGCTGCTACTACTACTACTACTACTGTTAGGTTTTCAAAATATATAAAGATTGGCCTTTGAAGAGCGTCACCAAACATGTGCTCCTACATGTGCTTACTAACTAATAATGCTTTGGTGTGCCCTCTACTACTGCTTCTTCTACTACTGTTACTTCTACTACTACTCCACATTACTGCATACAGATACAATTACTAAGTACTGCTACATGTTTGGCCTCTACTTTCATTGATGGCATTAGCAGTGATTCTGTTTCCTTTCAATAATGGGATTTAAAAATGTACAGTACAGGAATAGCCTGGCCTTAGCCCTCCCTACACTCCGATCAATCATCCTTTCCCTGTACTATGATGTGGTACGACCAGGCTAGTACAGCAATGATTCAAGGAAAAAAAGGACCGGCAACGCAAGTTTATTTGTACGTCACAGTTCATACACAAGACAACTCAAAGTGCTTCCCAAAACAAGAAAAGAAACATTAAAATAATGAATAATTACAGTATGTTAAAAAAAAAATGAAGCAATACAGACCTCTAACTGTCTCTCTGATGTGTACTTGGGCCTCTAACCTGATTTTTGATTCACACTGGAGCAATATGTCATCCTCAATTTATAGATCCTGGAAGTTTCTTAAGCTGCTGAAAGGAAAGTGGTTGTATGGAAAAACAGATGAAGGCAAAATGGTTAGTGTTGCCAGTGTGTATGATTTGAAAAAGAGCTTAAAATGTAATGTCTTAGAAAGTATTTTCCCCTGGTACTAGTACTTCTCTACTTTGACCACTACTATTTCTGACAACTTTTGCATTACTCTGTTGACCCCTAATATGTGTACTCTCCGATTCTTTTGGGATAGTGACTTTGCAGTTAAAAAAGAGAACGTGTGTCTAGTTAAATCATGTGGTTAGCCGTGTCTAAGTCTCCTCTAAGCTCCCTATGGACCTATGGCTCCTTTGTGTTTGTTATATTGCTGTGTTCCAACTGTAGGGTAACTACTTATATTGCTGATTATAATTACTTATTAGTATAAATTTGGTAGTGTGGGTCTGCTTTATATTTATTTTGGCACCAGCAATGTGTGGGACACACTGCACAGACCAAACCAAATCTTTGCCTCGATATCAATCTTATACTCTAAAGGTAGAGAATACGTTTTATCTGCCAGGGATAGTCCGAGATCTAACAACACGACTCTGATAGGATTGAGTTAAAGAAAGAGGTTTATTGATTACAAAATGAAGGTAAAAATATAACGAAAAGGGATTTCTGGTCACATTTAGGTAGGAGTCGTACACATTTCATTCAAATTGCACATTTAACAAGGAACAGTCTTACTTTGGAGGAGAGTAGAGGATGTGTTTGATGGAAAGAGGAGGATGGAGATGGGGGGATGAGAGTGAAGAATAGGATGGAGGCGATGTCTCGTCCACGTGGTCTTTGTTCGAACAGGGAGCAGGAGGAAGCCGGCAGGTCGGGTCCAGGCGTGGGTTCCACACACGACACGGTCTAGAATAGCGTTGTGGTGGGGTGGTCCAAGGAGCCCGAAAGTGGCGATAGAAGGTCCTCGTCTCCGACAGCGAGAGTGGTTGCTGTCCTCGTGGATGTACAGGCCCGAGATGGTGGCGGGCGTAGGCCGTGTAGGGGACACGTACCAAACGGGATAGTTGTTATGATGAATTCGGGGGAAACAAGAGAAAGTACAATGGCTTGTGGGTGCTTATATTGACTTCCCCAGGGGAGGCGTGTCCATGCCTCCCCTCTCTGTGGACAGACCCCTTCACAACAGACATTTTGCAAAGGAAACACATCGGATTGATGCAAATGATCATAACACATGTACAAACACACACCGTATTTCATTACTTTGACATCGATACACACATGTGAGGTCCGTAACGGTTATCAATCATAATATCATCGAATAATGTCCTTTGAGTGTCCGCCTTGGGTGTGATGGCGTCCAGTACCCACTGGGGGGCGCCAGAGGGCCGCGGGTGGACCCCTTGGTCCGTGGAATGCATTGTGACAATGCTGATTCGTATCAGATTCTCTGTTGACATGAAAAAGGCCCCATATGGGTATCCCGCTGTTTTATGGGTCCGTCTGGCGTTTGAATCCTCATGATGGATATCTGCTCCTGTGGTTGAACCCCATGGTTCCTTTGAAGTTGTATCTCTCCATTTGGTCAATGGTAAACAGAGCGGACGGCTCGGCCCTGTCCTCAGTTTAACCTTACATACCCCCCCCACGGCAGAGATGCACCTTCCGACAAGGTGCATGTCATGTCGGATATGCTGTGGGGTTGTCCTCAGTCGGTCGTCTCGCCTGTTCGGGTGTTAGTGTACAATTTGTGGTGACATGTTACAACATTCCCGTCTCAATGTGACTCAGTAGCTAGCAAGCGCCTAACTGGGGCCAGGCTCGTAGCGGTTGGGTCTCTCGGGCCTCTGGCTTGGTTTGTCGAGGCCGGGTTTTCTCTAAGGCGAGTCCTGGCCCTGCAGGCTAGTTCTAACCGGGATCAGGGGTTTGGGGAGTGAGCTCCGGCCGTGAACTCTAAGGTTTGGGCCGGTGTGCCTGACTCCTGGGTCTCTTGGTCTGGAAGACTCAAAGTTCCAAACCAAGAGAGTGGCAGGAGTTTCTACTCTAGGGGACTAGGATACAAAAATAGGAAACTTTAAAAATCCAAAAAAAGGGTGGCTGCCTTGGCAGCGGGTAGGAGCGTCATTAAGGCACTCGATGGTGAGGGGTTCCCATCTTGCTCGTTCTAAAAGGGGAGTGTAAGGGTTACACGAATATATGACGTAGCAAGTGGGGCTTTAATTACAAGGGACATTTCCTGTATATAAACGGGGATGACAGGTATGATTGTCTAAGAGACTGATTAGGTATCGAGGTAGTTTGGTTGGGTCTGAGCTGGTGACTCTTAGTGGGGTTTTAGGCCCTTGGTTCACCTTCCGTGATAGAAAGAGTGACCGTCTCGAGTGGGTGACTTTGGAGGTCCTCGTACTCTGACTCGTTGACCTGGGGACGCCGACTTAAATTGCCACGCTCGACGGCGCTGTCGCCCCGGTTTGGTTGTTTACGGATCTGTCTCGTCATTGCCTCCGCGCATCTGTTAAAGCTATCGCGGAGTCGCCTAACCCGTCTATTTAGGACGAAGACCGTGGCTATGGCCAGGCCGTACCCGATTCCTACCGCGATGGCTACGACTGTATCGGGGGCAGACCAGGAGTAGGCCACTGGTTGGTGGTGGATGGTCGGTCGCTTGGCAATCTCTTGAAGGAGGTTGTCTACGACCACAACGTCCACGGTTTGTGCCCCCTCGTAGGTGGCTTGGACTAGGGTGGAGGGTTGGAGTTCCAGAGCCCTTTTCTCGAAGAACTCTGGTACCTCGATCTCTGCCTCGTACTGGTTTGGGTACAGGTGGTATAGTGCCAGGTCGCCTATGTGCAGGATAGCGTCGGTTGGGACGTTGACCCAGAAGGTTTCGTCCGGGAGACTTACCCGGGACGAGGTGTCATGTTTGTCATAGGTCAGGGTCGCCGTTCTAAGGGGAGTGTTCACTAGCCATCGTGCCCCTACAATCTCTGCTCTGGTTTCGGTTATTTGCTTCCGAGAGGTGACCGTCGCGGGGCATCGACTCCCTGGAGTCATGGGCCTCAGGCCGCAGATGCCATCTGTACTGTCCCTGACGAAAGGTTTGCTGGGGCAGAGGTAATGGATGTCCTTAGTGAGAGTGCACATCCTTAGATTTGGCGTTAGGTACAAATTGGGGTTGCTGTCGTGGTAGGCTACTATGTCTGGCGTGTGGACTCTGACGTGGGCATTGTCCCTCCAGGTCCCTAGGTTAGTGATCCCTTTCAGTCGGTAGATTTTGTCGCCGGGAACTATCGGTAAGGTGACTAGGAAGGCTACCTCGCGGTCTAGAGGATTAACATAGATGGGGACTGCAGCGCCCAGCGTGTATGCTAAGTGGGCTTGCATGGGTGTTACAGCGTCCCGTGTGGCTACGGCTAGGATGTCCTCAACTAGCGATAGCGGCACGAGGTATGGCGGGATACGGCCCATGGCTAGGTTTTCGATGGAGGAGCTGAGGTGATGTAACATGTCCTCCATCAGCTGTGTGGTCAGCAGAGTATGGGCGTAGTCTAGTTGGAGGACGTCTAAGAGTTGGTTGACCGCAGCGGAGGTACGTTTAATCGCAACCTCGTGCGTGTTAAGTACTAGCATGGTTCCTTTCAGGGATTTTCCCAAGGTTACCACGTCGTTCTGTTGTTGGTCAAGTCTGGTTTTGACATCCTCGAGCTCAGAGGCCATTTCCTGTTGGTGGCGTCTGAGGGAGGATAGGCTGATGGCGTTTACCGTGGACATCCCTAAGCTAAAGAGGGTGCCCAGGGCGGACGCCGCGCCGAGGAGAGCCCCAATAAATCGTTTGGGTCTGGGGCGAGGGTCGCTGAGCTCTGTCCTAGTGATCGTGAACTTCTCTAGTTGCGTCAGCATGTGTTGTATGTCTGCCTCAGCGTGCTCCACGACCGTCTGGGTCCAGCGTGCACCTGCCCAATCTTTGAGTGTGACCTTCAAGGGCAGGTTCTTGCGGCAGACTTCACTAGGATTGAGTCTGACAAAGATTCGCTGTGTGTGGAGTCGGACGTCCGTGATGAGGAGCCCGGGTTGTTCTTTTAAAACGATCCCGGAGGCTGGTCCGGTCTCAATAATTTCTGGGGTGCCGAGGCCCAGTATGCAGGTCAGCACGAGAAGGAAAGTGGGCCACATGTTCTGCAAGGCGTGAAACAACTGTTAGGGGTTAGACAGAGACAGAGAAAGAGAGAGTCGATTAGTGCAGCCGAGAAGAGTGTTAGTGAGTGCTGGGCTAATCGTGTTTGAGGTCACGTGGTGTGTTCCTAACTGGGGTTTGAAGTGTGCCCTGCTTGTCCCATGGGGCTTTGTTTTTGTGGTTTGGTTTGGCTGTAACGGGCCCATCTGAGGGTGGGCTCTCTACCTTTTGTGACCTCGATTTGGTGCACTGCGGTTGAGAGTTTGTTTCCCACCCTGTATGGTCTTGACCAGCGGGGTCGCGGTTTCCGGCGTAGTCTGGTGGGGCCGGTTCCCACGTGTCCTGGGGAATGTGCCAAGGTGTAATACCATACCTGGTTTTTGACCTGGAGGTGGTCCTGCGGGTCGGTCCTGTATTGGTTTGTCCTCAGGAGCCGGGGGAGTTTCACGTTCTCGTCACTCCGGTTTGGGGATACGTACCTTAGTATTTCGGTCTCCGTCCGGTCCGTCCTTTCTACCTGTTGTAGTGCCTGACGTGTGTTGTTTATACCTGTTTGTTCCGTGGTAGGTGCGTCATGGGCGTGTGCCAACATTACCCCCCTCATGCTTCGAGGCACCACGAGCACCGACGAAGTGAGTGTATCGGAAGCGGAACCTAACAGCCCATGTCGTATCGGCAGTGTGTCTTCATCACGGCCGGAGATTCTAAGCGTCGTGGCGACCATGGCGGTGGGGGGGCGTTCCAGTGTGGGGTCCGCATGTCGGAGGGAGGCTAAGTCCGACCTGTCGAGGTCGGGGGCCGTGCGCGTGGCGTTCGCGCAGGTTGTGGGCGTCCCCTGATCGGTTTGTGCTGCGGCGGGTTGTGGGCCGTTCGCGGGCGGCGCGTTTACGGAGTAGCGGTGGTTTTCGCCCAACGGGCGCGGAATGGGCAAGGGCTCCCGGACCTGTGTCCAGATCTTTAGATGTTGGTAGTCTATTAGGGGCTTAAATCGATTTAGAAGGTCCTGGCCCAATAGGAGCGGATGCGTGTTGAATGGGGAGATGTAGACCGGGTGGACCAGTGTCATGGGGCCCACGGTCAGTCGCATTAGGGCCATTTTACGTATGGTCGTATCCACCTGGGAATAGGGGTGTATTTCTAAGTCGCATGGCTGCGTTTTTAGGTGTCTGTGGGATTTACTGGCCATAGACTGTAACTTACCGAAGAGGTTTTCGCCAATCAGGCTGATATCGGCAGTGAGTGTATCGGAAGCGGAACCTAACAGCCCATGTCGTATCGGCAGTGTGTCTTCATCACGGCCGGAGATTCTAAGCGTCGTGGCGACCATGGCGGTGGGGGGGCGTTCCAGTGTGGGGTCCGCATGTCGGAGGGAGGCTAAGTCCGACCTGTCGAGGTCGGGGGCCGTGCGCGTGGCGTTCGCGCAGGTTGTGGGCGTCCCCTGATCGGTTTGTGCTGCGGCGGGTTGTGGGCCGTTCGCGGGCGGCGCGTTTACGGAGTAGCGGTGGTTTTCGCCCAACGGGCGCGGAATGGGCAAGGGCTCCCGGACCTGTGTCCAGATCTTTAGATGTTGGTAGTCTATTAGGGGCTTAAATCGATTTAGAAGGTCCTGGCCCAATAGGAGCGGATGCGTGTTGAATGGGGAGATGTAGACCGGGTGGACCAGTGTCATGGGGCCCACGGTCAGTCGCATTAGGGCCATTTTACGTATGGTCGTATCCACCTGGGAATAGGGGTGTATTTCTAAGTCGCATGGCTGCGTTTTTAGGTGTCTGTGGGATTTACTGGCCATAGACTGTAACTTACCGAAGAGGTTTTCGCCAATCAGGCTGATATCGGCAGCTGTGTCCACGAGCGCCTCGTGTTCCCAATGGTCTTCGAGTGTTACGGGCAGGTAGAGTTTCCCGTAGGTACCTCTTTGTTGTAGATCGCCAATGAATTGGCGGAACGGTGGTTCGCGGTTGGTTGTCGAGGGGCCGTCCTCTCGTGGGTCCGTGATGGAGTTTACCTGTATTACCATGACATCCCTCTGGTCGTAGCAGATGTCCACCGTTTGTGCGCTTGAGTAGTCATCATTTAGCTCCTGTTCGCTGAGGCAGTCGTCCATGTGGTGGGGAGCATTCTCGACACTGCGAACACGTCGGCGTTGTCTGTCTTCTTCTCTCTGGCTTTGCGCAGGAGCGTGCGGAGGAGGGATTGTTCCTCCCTAGAAAGGTTGTCTTTATTAATGGTTGTAGCGGTGCGGTCTTGGTGGGGCCGTTGTGGCGCGCGGTCTGTCCTGTCGGTCTGGGATTTGTTCTTCGGGTCCACGTGTGTCTGGTTATTCCTTTGGGGTCCGTGGTTGGTTCCCCATTTGTGTTTTCGGGCCGTTGGTGCGCCCTCAAGTTCCATGTGGTTTTCCACACTGTACACTGTAGGTTGGGTTTGCGGCTTCGCCTGTGTCTTGAGCAGATGTTTGCCTTGTGCTCGTGCCACCAGGGTCTTCAGTTGCCGTATGTCCTGTGTAAGGGGGCAGGCGTACACGCCCAGTAGCTGGCTAAGGTTGGGGTGGAGGTTTTGGAGGTACAGGGCCCTGAAATTCGTGTCTTCCTCCATCCCTTCGTAGTTTCGGTTGCCGAAGAAGGCCTGTCGCAACCTGTGGTAGTAGCATTCCGCAAGCTCGTTGTGAGCTTGTTTGACTGCCATGGCTGCCGTGAGGGTCCCGGAGGCGCCGTAGTCGGAGTATTCTGCTAGGATGGCTTTGCAGAGCTCGTTGTAGTCATGTTTTATAGCCCTTGGTTGCCTTTCGATGAAGTCATTCACCTCTCCGTTGGACGTGAGTCTAATCAAGTATATTTTGTCATCCTGAGACGCGTGTGGTATGCGGTCGGCGTGGAAGTCGACGACGCGGAGGTATGATCGGGTGTTTGTAGGCATGCCGGGCCGGGGGTCAAAGCGGGTTATGTGTCTAGCTATGCGGTCGAAGTCGCGGTCGGATGGTCCGAGCGGGTCTCGACCCATCGGGGGCGCGTAACGGGCGTCGCGTCCTCTATAGTCCGGGTAGTACCGTTGTCCCGGGGTCAAGTCCTGGCGTGCGTCCGGGGGGGTGCTGTGGGGTTGTCCTCCATGATTGGGGAGGTCCCCGGCGTTCCCATGGCGGGTCACTGGTCGTTGTGCCGCAGCATATGCGGGCGGCCCAGGCTCAGGGTACCGTATGTCGTGTGGTCCATGTAGCATGTACTGATGTGGGCCAGGGGGGTCGTTGTAGGGTTGTCCGCCATGTTCAGGGCGGGCCCTTTCGTCCCAATGGCGGTAGTCTGAAACATGTCTCGTATGGACGTCAGGTGGGTCAGAGTCATGGGTCGGGTAGTCATGTTGGCTGCGTCGCATGTCCATGTGTGTTCCCGGGGGGGCGACGTGGGAGTCCCGTCCCTGGTTGAGGTGGTCTCCACCGTCCCAATGGCGGGCTGTTGGCCGTTGTTCGCCGAGGTCCATGGTCAGTCCGTGTGTATGGGTCTGGTGGCCATGCGTTTCGTGTTTAACGTGCCGGTGTGCTGCGGCGGGTCCGGCCGGGGGTTGTCTCTCATAGGCGGAGGGGTCCCCGGGGACCCGTGAGCGGTCTGTCACGTGGTACGTTGCCTGGCTCGTCGGTGGGTCGAGTCTGGGGTCAAAGTGGTCGATGTGTCTAATGTAGTGTTGAGGGTTGGCTGTAGTTGCGGGCGGTCCCGTTGTATGGTTGGGGTCGCGCGCAACGTGGTCGAGTCCGTCGTCGACGGACCGCTGGGGCCTGTTCCGATTGTTGCTGTTGGGTTGTATATCGTGCCTTTGACCTTGATTCTGGTCCTTTCCTGTGATGATACTTACCAGTTCGGCCACGCTCCTGCGTTCACTCTCGGACGATGGTCCGCCGCGGTCGGAGTGAGGGGAGTGTGGGTCGGAGGCACAGTATCGGCCGGCTTCGTTTGAAGTAGCGGCCCCGATTCTCGCTGCGCGATCTAGATCCATGGTCGCGTTTGGGATCGTGTTCAGTCCCGGTTGGTGGTTCCTACTTACCTGTTGGATTGGTTCCAAGCGGCTCGCGGCGGACCTCTTAGCTTCCGCTAGTTGCCGTTCCAGTTCACCTACCGTGTCTTGAAGCCTTTGGTTCTGGGCTTTGGAGTCGCGTAAGGTTATTCTGGAGACCGTGGCTAGCTGTCCCAGCCACTGGGTCAGGGTCTTACCTTCAAGTTTCTTCGTAATAGCCTCGGATGCCAATGTGGAGGTGGCATCTAGTAAGTCAGAGGGTGAGCCGTGCTCAAGCATGTCGTAGGATCCTGGGGATAACTTCTCTGTGAAGTCGCGCAGAAAGTTATCCACTACGTCGTGTTCCTCCATGACACTGTTGTGCTCGCTTGGTCGTGGCGAGTTTCCGCCATCGGTTTCCATATTTGTGTGGGTGAGCGGGTAGTACAGCTGTAGTTCGTGCGGTGGTGCGAACCTTGGTGTGTGTCAAAGCCGTGACTACAGCGTCCTCTCCGTGTGGCGGTGTATGCGAGTGGGCGGCCTAGGACAGGGGCCGGGCGTTAGTACTTCTTCACCTGTGTGTCAGCGAAGAGCGTTGGGGTTAGTGGCGGTGGCGCACGTAGGTTTAGCAGTGGCGCCAGCTGTAGTAGCAGTATTAGGGCGCGGCGTAAATCCGCAGCGGTAGGCGCGGCGTAAGAGACGCAGCGTGAGGGGCGCGGCGTAAGAGACGCAGCGTGAGGGGCGCGGCCTGAGGGACGCAGCGTTAGACGCGGCGTAAGACGCAGCGTGAGGGGCGCGGCCTAAGGGACGCAGCGTTAGACGCTGCGTAAGGCGCAGCGTGAGGGACGCGGCGTAGGAGACGCAGCGTGAGATGCACCTGCGTGGGAGACGCACTTGCGTATGGGACGCACTTGCGTATGGGACGCACTTGCGTATGTGTCGCACTTGCGTATGGGACGCACTTGCGTATGTGTCGCACTTGCGTGTGTGTCGCACTTGCGTATGTGTCGCACTTGCGTATGTGTCGCACTTGCGTATGTGTCGCACTTGCGTATGTGTCGCACTTGCGTATGTGTCGCACTTGCGTTTGTCTCGCACTTGCGTTTGTCTCGCACTTGCGTTTGTCTCGCACTTGCGTTTGTCTCGCACTTGCGTTTGGTGTCGCACTTGCGTTTGGTGTCGCACTTGCGTTTGGTGTCGCACTTGCGTTTGGTGTCGCACTTGCGATTGTGTCGCACTTGCGTTTTGGACGCACTTGCGTTTGGTACGCACTTGCGTTTGGTACGCACTTGCGTTTGGTACGCACTTGCGTTTGGTACGCACTTGCGTTTGGTACGCACTTGCGTTTTGGGCCGCGGCGTAGCTTTAGACGCAGCTCAAGTAAGCAGTAGCAAAAAGGCAGCAGGCTGAGGCAAGGTAATGCAGTTTTAGTGACAGTGAGGGTTAGAAATAGAGTATTAGTTTTGATGTAGTACAAGGGGGTGGGAGTGCAGTATCTGTCAGATCACACACCGGTGTGGTTCAAGAATAACGCGCATCATGCAGGAGCAGAAGTACAGAATAGGATTAGTTACCACGGTAATGTGTTATTCATAACGTGCAGTAACAGAGGCAGAACCAGATTATTAGCTTTTGTTATGTATAGCAGTAATGTGTTCTAATAGCAGCATGCGCTAGAAGGAGCAGAGTTACAGCATGAAACTTGGCCAACGCAGTAATGTAGCCTAACAATTATGTTTAAGAGGAGAAGCAGAAACAGAGTGTTAGCTTTTGTCATGTATAGCAGTAACGTGTTCTAATAGCAACATGCGCTAGAAGTAGCAGAGTTACAGTATGAAACTTTGGCTAACGCAGTAATGTAGCCTAACAATTATGTTTAAGAGGAGAAGCAGAAACAGAGTGTTAGCCTCTGTTCATGTATAGCAGTAATGTGGTCTAACTTAAAACAAAGGTGATATGCAGCAGAAACCCGTGAAGCAGCAACACGGCATAGGATTGGTCACTACAATAATGCGTATTATCAGTGGTAGGGGGGGGGGGGGGGGTGTGTGTGGGAGTGCAGTATTTGTTAAATCACCACACAGATGTGTTACCGTAAACTAGCAGTAGTGAGTGAGCAGGAATAAAGCATAGAATGCGTTTCACCCGCGACATGCAGTAGAAGGAGCAGAGTTTACAGCATTAAACTTGGCTAACGCAGTAATGTAGTGTAGCAATGACGTTAAAGAGGAGAAACAGAAATAGAGTGTTAGCTTTACCAATGTGTGGCAGTAATGTGGTTATTGAGTTGGAGTAACAAAACAGCACGGAGGTATAGCAAAGCCGTTTCACGTTAGAGCCACATTCACAGATGATTAAAGACGTGGTGCAGAATGAAGTGTCAAGACAGCAGCAATGTGGTCCCGGAAGTAGTGCCGGGACCGGAAAGCAATTTTGTGTTAGACAATAAAAGAGGTGCGGCCCGTTTAGCGGTATGCCGAGACGGCTGGCGCCTTATGATCGTCAGAACACAGAATCAGAGTGGGATAGGATAGTACGAAGTATAGTAAGTAGTGTTATTGTTAGACCGCAGGTAGACAATGCAGCAGAATGGTATTAGCAGTGGGGATGCGGCTCTGGCTTTTAGCGCGCCATGGCCGGAAGTTAGCCGTATGCTAAAAACAAAGGAGCGTAGCTAGCATGTAGCTTGCCGGCAACGGGACATTTTGGCAGCAGTTTAGGCAATAAACAATGAGTTTTGGTGACCGAATGCAGTTCGGTTAAACAGAGTGGCACTAGTTTTAACGGTAGAGAAGCAGCTTATAGTGGGAGCGGGGTCGGCCCGATGTTCCCCGGGTCCGATGTTCCCCGGGTCCGGTGTTCCCCGGGTCCGGAGTTCCCCGGGTCCGGAGTTCCCCGGGGCGGGGAACACCGGACCCGGGGAACATCGGACCTTCCAAACGCCGGAGGGCCCGGTGTTCCCCGACTGCGGGCCTCGCTCATAGACATGTTATTGCTGCGCGCGGATAATGGAGCAACAAGCGGCTTTCGCTCATAACTAGTCTATAGGGCTACTGAATACTTTATATTATAAGCCTAGTAGATCTCGCATTGTTGTAGCCAACTACATTTTTACAACCTACCACCTCAGAATAAGAACGTGTTGCAGATAAGAAAAGTAAAATTAGCTCCACCACCTTTTCTTTTTGGAAACATATCTCCCTCCGTTCATCCTCGCAACAGTATATCGGCGCCAGGTTTGCAATTTTGGGTAGGCCTGCAGATTAGTAAGTAGGCCAAATTCGCTTGCAAACTACAAGGGCTAACTGGAATTTGGGTTTCAAAGAATATGGTTCAAACGCACACACGCACGCACACGCACTCACGCGCGCACATACACACAAGCTCATTTATGAAACTTGCGTTGAAAAAGGTGTACATTTTGGGTGTATATTCCATTTACGCAATTTGCCAAAATGTTTTGATACATTAGAAAAATCCTTATTGAATTGTAGAAGTGAATAAATATAGATTGATTGAATGAATGAATTAATTCATATATATCATCATGCAGCGGTGGCTCTCATGAATGAAGCGTCTGCAGCGTCTTGGACGCAGCCTGGCTCGGGGTAGAAGTGCGCATTGAGGCGCTGTACACTTCATAGAGAGCGTTTGCGGTCCAGATTTCACAAAGAAACTCTGGAGCCAAAACTTCTGCACATGTGGCGCGACCTCTCACGGCACTCGCTGCGCACTCTGGACAGGGCAGTGAGACGTTTGAGTGAGCAATACCATCGATGCGGTATTGGGGTGTGTGTCTGTGTGAGGCTTACACAAATCTAATGAAATAACACATTGCTTTACCAGATGTGAATGAGGAATACAAATAGCCGTGCGTAATTACGCAGCGCAGAGCCTGCCACAGCAATAGATGGGTCACACATCCCTGTTGCGTAAAGTGTATAGAGCCTTTCACTGTCCAGGATCACAAAGCGCTTCACATTTTAAAAACATACAGATCAAAATAATACACACACAAG